TATATCCACAGCAACTCGCGCAGCAATAACACGCGGTATATCCACAGCAACTCGCGCAGCAATAATAGGCAAAACAATAACACTGGCTGAAAATATAATAAAATCTGTACTGAGCTAATAATATACGGCAAAAATTGTAACGGTAAAAAAATCCAACAAAATTTGTGAAAGAAATTTGAATAATTGGTATTATTTGATAGAATTGTCAATTTTACCCGAGTGGAACATTGGGTATGTAAACAGTTAAACATGCGTCAGACTGCAACGTAAGAGTGAAGCGAGACCAATGAATAAATTTTTCCTGTACAAAATACAACAAATAAGTTTCATTAGTAGAATCCAACACACCATCGATGAAATATTTGGGAAAAAGTATCCACTGAATTTCCCTTTGTACCAGAATACCGCGAAGCTCTTCGCGTTAAATTGCACGCGTAAGGAGTTTCGGCTCACCAAGTAGGGTGGAAATTTTGTGTCGATCAATATCCAATTGTTCGTGTAATAAAATACCTGAAATTTCATGCAAACTGTTCCATAAGGTGGTAGATGGACCCAAATTTAGGAAAATAATGACATGACAAGGGGATGCGCAGAAAACGGGTGTCATTTTTCAATTTTGAGCCCCATATGAAATGCCCCGCATTCTCGAGAGGCGACATAATTCAATCAACCAAGAAATAAAGATAAAAAGCATTCAAGCAAACTGCAGGGCACAGCTGTGGTCGAAGCGTGGGTGCCAAGTAGAGGTCTGCACTCTTTGTGTTCTTGGCGAATAATAGATTCTTCTGCTTAAGTTACGTTTGATGCAGATTTAGGACTAACAAGTTCATTGTCAGTCTGTCAAGGTTATTGTCTCCAAGGCTTGTATAAAATAAGAGACGAATAATAAGAAGAAATTGAGAGTAAAAGAGATGAAAAACAATCATCTCATTTCGGAAACGTATACTAAATCAAAGATGTTTAATGTTAAATTACAGCTTTTACTGTGATATTCATATTTATTTTAATTTATTTTCCCGCAGAGAGTGCAGAATGTACTCCATCATTATTTACTACTTCAGCCTTACTTTTTACAACACTTCTCATTAACTTCACTTCTTGTCTGTCTGCTACAAATCTTATAATCGATATTCAACTAACTATACCTGTCCAATCGATCTGAAATTATGCACACTCGCGTAAAGTTGGAGACAATGCATGAATCAATTGACAGAATGAATAATTTTGAAACTTTAAATTTTTTCAAATATTAAAAAAAAATTTAATTGATGTTTTTAATATTTGAAAATAAAATTAGAAATTCATTGTACATGTGTAACATCGGAGACACTGGATTCTTTCGAAGTTGTTGTCTTTAAAAAGTAATTTTTAAACGCTATTATTTTGTTTTCGATTTAGTTATGATGGCGCAACTGCAATAATATTTCCTATTATCAACTCTCTGTCTAAAGACACATTAAATTTCTTTAATACTATTCGTAACTTAAAGCTGAGAACCCAAGTTACCGACAGTAGAAAAAGGTTATAATTTTGTGTATTTGACTTTTCTGACTTGAATGAGTCACAAGTCATAACCATACCTCGAGTAAGTCTCATAAATTAAAAAATAATTTGTTGAAAATCTTGTGGTCTCGCCAGTGGCGGGTAGGGCATCACAATCCCCTCTCGTTCGAATTGAAATGACCTAAAATATTTGAAACTCGATTACGAAGCATATTAGTAAAAATTAATAGCGCTGGCAATAAAGATTAGGACGATTTTAGCCCATCGCCGTTCCTTGAAAATTCGAGACTCGTTTCCATGAGGTGAACAAACTGGTCTTTACCCAGTTTTGAAGTTTGCGAGGACCATCTAAAAGAAAGCGAATTGAATGCATGGCTTTTTTCGATAAACCCATTCATCTCGGATTCATTAAAGAGAAATTGGCTGTCATGAAAGTTTGGTTCACTGACGTCGGAAATTAACATCAGTACGACGCTGCAAAAACAAATAAATATGTTAGATATAACTAACCCAACCAATGGCCATGGCTCAAAGGGCAGAGTACTAATGGAGTCTTACGATCTCGTACGTGCATGTGTTAACGTCTGTGTGGTGACGTGTGGTAACGTCTGTGAGGTGACATGTGGTGAGGTGTTCAGTGGTAACGTATGTGTGGTGACGTGTGGTGAGGTGACGTGTTATGTGGTGACTTGTTTCGTCCTCGTGTCTCAATAATTAAGACACCTGGGTAGTATGGGTGGGAGAGGCTATTTGGTCGGATAGTATGAGTGGGAAGGATAGCGCAAAGCGAGAATAGGAAGAGAGTGGTAAACACTTTGAGTCAAGAGTAACAAAAAGAAACTGAGTGGAAAAGAGCCCAGAGAAAACAACGGCGAACACCACGAAGAAACGGAGTGGAAAAGAGCCCAACCACAAGGCATGTAGGTGACCTTGCGGTACGTGACTTCCTGCCACAGGTGACACGTGCCCAGCATGACCGACCACCAGCCTCTGCACGTCGCGTGACGCAGGCACCCCATAAATACGAGGGCACCGAAGCGGCGCTCGTCACACGACCGCTACCTTCACTCTGCACTCTTCCTCTTAGCCGTGTTATATTAGCCCGTGTTAAAAGCTCTTTTATTTATAAGAACTTTTTCGGGATTCATATATCCGACGTGCCATCTGAATTTGAGACTTCCAACTGGGCTTATCCGGTTCCAGTTTCTACGGAACCCATGCTTAATTTTATCGTGAGAGTGACTTGTAAATGACACGAAAAAATTATTATTTAGCTGTTCGCGTGCAAATTTAATCGTGTGCAATTAATATTGTAAAAATGACCCTCCGATTCGTGCTTGATTTAAACTAAAAATAACATGAAATATAAACGATCATAATAGATACTCTGAAAATACCAGTAGAAAAAGTTAAAGTTCCAAATTTGAACAGTTCCTGAGCACCGAAGTATTCGTTTCCACCTCAACGTTTATTCAGTGATGACTGTGTAATGACAACAAACGGACGTAACAACAGTGAACTGAAAATAAGTATTGTAAATTGGGATTGAACATCGTTTTTTTTTGCATCGTTTATAGAAAGTTTTCGTGAGCTAACTTTGCAGACATTCAAGTTTTTGAGTCATTCAGTGCATGCTTCCTTTTTGCCAAGCCGCTCATGATACGCACAAAGTTCCAACAAATGCTACGAAAAGCAATAGTGTATCCTGGCAATATAATGATTTATAGTCCAAAGTACCAAATATAAATTAATAAATAATCGAGTGTAAATTGTGTCATGCTAATTGTACACTATACTTAAAAACACTACACTATACTTAAAACACTATACTTAAAAAATAATTCCATGTCTGTTCCATGAGTGTAAAACTTCCATGGTGTAAAACTCGTAGAAAAGTGTTCCATGAGTGTAAAACTTGTAGAAAATTCAAGCTAAACTCTATTCTGGATTATTCCTCTTTAAACTGCCACTCAGTCCCATGAGTCCAAGGAAATTCATTCCGTTTAAGTAAAAATAAGAATGGAATTTAGAGATAATCGACAAGATATCAGTAGCGCAGTGAATGACAATTAAATATTTGATAGGAACACTTCAGTTATGAATTTACTAATTTTTTGCACTTCTTCCTGCATCATAACCCAACCAATTTATGAACATGCTTAAAAAATTATTATACCGAACACCTAATGAATACTTTTGCTGGTAACCCCAGCCTGGTTGGTCGTAAATTTGTGTAAATTTAATCTATTCAGTTCCTCCTCGCTCAACCCAACACCCTAATAAGAAAGAAAGCAATTGCAGGTGGCATAAGCAGTAAAGTCTGCCGTTCTAAGCATTAGAGCGCGTGAGTCACAGCCGACACTGCCAAGATAAGGAGATCTCGTTAGCGCGCCTGCAGCTTGCAAGCGCCAGTACCCTAACAAAATTTAGAGTCGCCCCAGCTTCTGGTAATCCAAATCAGAAGCTGCCGCGTCTGTAAATTTTCACTGGGTAACAAAATTTAGAGTCGCCCCAGCTTCTGGTAATCCAAATCAGAAGCGGCCGCGTCTGTAAATTTTTACTGGGTAGGTACAGCTAGCCGGCGGGGCGCGTGACAGTTCAAGTCATTTATTTTGTGTCGACAGGCGCTGGTGCCAGACGTACGCCCTCCACATGACTATCATCAAATCAGGTGATAACTTTTTTGTTTTTGATACAAGAATTATTTTATACTTGTATAAATAAGCTAATAAAACTGATTCAAAAATATCACTCTCTTCTTCACTCCTTGCCGTCAAAAAATAATTTTTTTTTCACTCTAGATATCCGATATATTGAAAATATTCTTCCTCATACCTATTTGTTCCATTAAAAATTGAATATAAATGAATTGAACCTTGGTAAATATTGCTACCACCAATAAAATGGTTTTTTGAACGGTCAGAATGATAACGTGTAGATAAGAACCAGTCTTCGAATAATACGATGTTCAAGAACGCTTTATGTGTATAAACGTTCATGTTTTTCTAAGAAATTGAATCCCCGGAATTCAACGCAGACTTCATGACCATGTGATCAGTGAAGAGTTACTTTTGATCAAACTTGAAACAGTTTGTGGCAAAGTGGTTAACGTTTTTCAGCGAAAAAAAAAACAATCTGGCCTAGGCTTATCAACATAAATAGCGGGGGAAAAATGCTAGGTTTTTCAGGTAATTGAAACCATGGTGGTCTGAAGAATTGACGAGAAGCATAATACGAGGTGCGTATAATTTACTTGGTAACGGAGATAATTGCGTAATAATTTACGCAAGTAATTCGAGAAAAACCCGTTTGATTCCCAGTATAATTATTCTTGATACTCTAACGTTTGTTTACAATTACATGGTTAGCAAAGTTTGAAAATCAATCCGAAAAGGATTAGGAAGAAGAGAATGAAAATAAAGTTAATATATAATAAAACATCAGCGATAAAACAATTGATAAATAACACAAAACAAATAAAAACATGGCGTACTCACCCACGACTCTGACGTCAGCCTCAGCCTGGGCGCGGCCAGCATGGTTCTCGGCCTGTACCATCAGCCTACCCTCGTGCAGTCGTCCCACCGAGGGCACCGTAAGCCAGTGACGCCACCCTCCCCCCGCTGCCCCTCCCTTCTCCCCCACCACATACTGGCGGGCATCCCGCATGTACTCCTGCCCCGTGACACGCCCCTCGTTCAGGTACCACTCAACCTGTCGTCCAAAAAATGGTTCATTGGATAAGTTGTGGTGTTTGAGATTAGGGGTACTTCTGAAGGTAGATATGAAGGTGGTGGTTGATATACTCGTTGAAACGTTGGTAGCCGCGTAACTAGGGACCAAAATAGTAGCAATAGTGGGAGTGGTACAATTAGTATTGGTAAGTGGTACAAGTAGCAGTGGTGAGTGGTACAAGTAGCAGTGGTGAGTGGTACAAGTAGCAGTGGTGAGTGGTACAAGTAGCAGTGGTGAGTGGTACAAGTAGCAGTGGTGAGTGGTACAAGTAGCAGTGGTGAGTGGTAGAAGTAATGGTGGTGAGTGGTACAAGTAGCAGTGGTGAGTGATACAAGTAGTAGTAGTGAGTGGTAGAAGTAATGGTGGTGAGTGGTACAAGTAGCAGTGGTGAGTGATACAAGTAGTGGTGGTGAGTGGTACAAGTAGTGGTGGTGAGTGGTACAAGTAGCAGTGGTGAGTGATACAAGTAGTAGTGGTGAGTGGTAGAAGTAATGGTGGTGAGTGGTACAAGTAGCAGTGGTGAGTGGTACAAGTAGCAGTGGTGAGTGGTACAATTAGTATTGGTAAGTGGTACAAGTAGTGTTGGTGAGTGGTACAAGTAGCAGTGGTGAGTGGTACAAGTAGTAGTGGTGAGTGGTACAAGTAGTGGTGGTGAATGGTACTAGTAGCAGTGGTGAGTGGTACAAGTAGCAGTGGTGAATGGTACTAGTAGCAGTGGTGAGTGGTACAAGTAGCAGTGGTAAGTGGTACAAGTAGCAGTGGCGAGTGGTACAAGTAGCGTGGTGAGGGGCACTAATAGCAGCGGTGAGTGGTAAAAGTAGTAGTGGTGAGTGCTACTAGTAGCGGTGGTGAGTGGTACAATTAGTTGTGGTGAGCGGTACAAGTAGCAGTGGTAAGTGGTACTAGTAGCAGTGGCGAATGGTACAAGTAGCTTGGTGAGAGGTACAAGTACGTAGCAGTGGTGAGTGGTTAAAGTAGTAGCGGTATGTAATAGCAGAAGTGAGTGGTACTCTCAGCAGTAGTATTGAGTGGTAGTGTATTAGAGTGACACCAAGACAAGTCTTGACTGTTGTACTGCAGAGCTTTAAGCGCTGAGGCCTCCACTAACTAACGAATGTAATGCGCACGAGGAGCTGTGTAATGGTAAAGACATAGATAATAATTTGCACAAATAATATACTTGTGGGAGCAAAAGAAACAAAGTCGCACAGCTTAATTAGTCCAGAGATTATTACAGAAAATGCAATCTAATTTAATACAGGGCAAATCACCATGGAAATAAAAAAAATAGCAATAAAATTCAATGAAAGACTCCGTAGCTGATATTCATGACAGAACTGCACCAACATAATAAATATAATACAAAATTGTTTGAGTTAAACTAAAGAAGAGAAACAAGTTAAAATCAACTACATCGGAGAAAACATTGTGGCATTAAGGTGGAAATTGATTGATATTATATTTCGGCAAAACCTCGCCGTAAATATCAACATGAAATGTCTTACAACATCGGTAAACGGAAAGACGGATGATCTAATACGAGAATAACAATCAAATCATATGCGTGAAAACAATAGCTAGGCAAAGGATAGGGTCGAGATTATACAGTCGGATCATGTAACTACCGAACTATGCTAATGATGTGGTCAAAAGAATATACATTGTTAATAAAATATACATTTTTGTCATCTCAAGCTCAATTTTTTACCCTATCAATTTGAGGTTCCGATTGTAAAAAAACTACTGAAAAATTGATCCATCAAATTGTAATCCCTTAAGACGTTACGTTGATGTCTGCTGGAGTCCAAATACATGAACGTCGAGTCATCAACATGCAAATGAACCTGAAGTAATTGCTGGCTGAGTCGTACACACATTGATTAGTCAGGAGACGAAAGTAGTAATTTGTCTTTAACGTCACGGGTGAATATTTTGGAAAGCGATTTAAATTTTAAAATATAATAATGTTTAGCTGAAATTTAGGCAAAAAGTTGAAGATAAAAAATGTACTCAGCCCCTGAAGCAGATTTTGCACAAATTGCTTTTTACAACGACCTTCTATGGAAAATTTATTGAAAGATAAATTATTGCATTGATTTTATTAATTTGGTCATTCTACCCTGAAAATGGTATTCAGGTAGAAACATCGGCATTTGGTATTACGAGTGCTTCAAATCGACTTAAAGCTGCTGATTTACAGACGCTGAAAATTTACAGACGCAGCAGCTTCTGATTTGGATTACCAGAAGCTGGGGTGACTCTAAATTTTTTAGGGAAACAACTGTCCATTAGGCTACAACCAAACGCATTAATCCACCATCCTGGCAAGACTGGCATTGTTAGCTGAGAACGCACGCGTTTCATGCGTGCGTGCATGAAACGACAACGTTTCGTGCACCTCTACGTGTTCGTGGAGGTAAAGAAAAGAACTGAGCAGTTCACCAGTAAGTAACCATCGCAACCAGCAGTTCTCCAGTAAACCATCGCACAGATGAAGTCAATGCCCAAGGTCATGGAAACACGATAAAGAGATTAGAAGTCTAATATTTTCTTACACATCTAGAAGCAATTTTGCAATAGTTTGAAAAATAACGCATAAAAACCAGACAACTAACTTGATACAGATAAAACTAAAAAGAGATTCGTATCCGAAAAAAGGGCGTAAAATTTTTAAGTTGAGTTAACAAGTCGAGAACGAGCCGAAGCGCCAACATCATTTCATTTAATGGACAAACAATTTATAAATTCTTATGTAAATCATCAAAAGAATCTTCGTTCTACTCTCGCTTGCGTTCTCACGTCAATGAAACGTGTTTAAATACAATGAATCAATGAATAAGTAAATGGGCAGGGATCTGTCATCCAGCAGACGTCCCGTGATGAGGCAAATAACTTGCCATCATTATCCAGTTTCCCGAAGATCCAACACGGACAAGTTTAGGCGGACAGCCATTGAAGTGGACCGTGAGAACGCAGCCAAATAACAACCTTAATCATAATGAAGATTTACAACGAGGCTTCAAAACCGATTGCGGCCGTCTTTTTCATGTATAGAAGTTTTGAAAGCGAAAAAATTGTTGTCCTCTGAAAATTTTCTTTCATTAAGAGACTTTAATAATCACTTAGTTCCATCACTTTTTGACATTAAGAGTGTGCCGAATGCCCCGCGGATTTTAGCAGCTAGGCTCCCTGCATATGATCAGCAACTACCATTCCATAAGGTAGAAAATGGCCCATCCACTTTTAGTCGCCGTTGAATTCAATACAGAAATATTTTTCTCTAAATATTAACACGATCAGGCGAAAATAACACCAATCACGTAAAAATCAGATATTTTCACAACATATTATATCCATTACTTTTATAGGCAATCCTCTATCCACTCAATCAACTATTCTAGAGACACGGTGATAGATGCACCGAAGCTAATTACTTACGATAATGAGCGTGCTACATCAGGTTTCAATAGTGAACGAGTCAAGAGTCAAGACTAAGTAAAATGCGCCTCAGAATCAGATTAATTACAGCTTAACTAATGCTCAGTGCTCGCAGCAGCGTCCTAGGCACCCTTCAAAAAAATTTCTCTGCAAAGCATCATGCATAGACGCATGAAAAACATCACTGAATAGATGAAACACATACAGAATTTCGCAAGTTAATTCTACACCTAATTTCTAGCAGAAAGTTCACTGAACGGAGTCCATCAAATGATATCATAAGCAAGACTGGTCAAAATAACGGAGAAACTGCGTCAAATCTCCTCAATAATCAGCCTTAACTCGACATAGTCAATACAGGCTTACAAGGAAGTATAGTCGGCTTCTATTTAATCCAAGTCGAATCAGTCCCAATTACGCAAAATGACAAAAACCATGAAAAGTCCGGCATTCAACGAAAGAAACGATAGGGCGTCATCTTCACAGTCACCAGGAGAATCTTCGTCAGGAGGGAAATTGGCTTCGAAAACGATGGAGTGCGCCGCCTGCTGACATGATTGCGTGAGGTTGTCCACAACACCGGGCTCACAGACACTAGCGTAATCCGTACGAACCAACGGAAGATGTAGACGATCCAAGACAGAGTCTGCTAACTTGAAAACTTTACGTAATTTGTCCTTGACTAAAAGTTTGAATTGGGAAATACTTAACGACTGAACGGTCTTCAATAAAAACGTAAAGACGCCATTCGAGACCGACGTATCAATGTTCCCAGAGTCTCGGAGACAAAGTTGATTTCCGGCCTCACCGAGTTTATAGGCATCGTTCGCACATGAAAAATCAAATGACATTAAGCTAATCTTTCTGTGCTTGTGAATCAAAAAAGGCTGCATTTGTCGTTCAGCCGACAGGTTATTTCCCTCTGACGTAAGAGACGCGGTGACGCTTGGCAGAATTTCGGAGGATGGAGGCCTAGAGAGCGCTCGAGTGAAATACTTCAATTTAAGCAGACGAATCCTTCTCCGTTTATTGGGGCACTTGACGAGTAGGAAATCAGCAGTCCTGATGTGTTCATCAGATTCACAAGCATTAAAACTAGAAGCTGAACTGGATTCTGTTAAGTGTTGCTGGCGGTGACTTTCAGTTACTTCGCCGGGTTGAGGAGACTGGATCACCACATTCATGTTTTTGAATTCATGGTCCACAAACCCTTGGGCGCTGTCATACTCAGAGGCGGCTCTATTCCGAGCGCTGGTCAATTTTGATTCAGTCAAGCTTGGCCAAATTTGTACAGATTCCATGTAATTGAAGACGTTTTCAGGCTCTGTATCAGCGCTGCCGCTGCTCTCCTCCGAGATTGCGGACAGAACGCTGACTGGTCGCAAGTCACTGTCAGCGTAGCTGAGGGCGGACCAGCTAGGGTATACGTATTGGGTTTTCATCACATCATTGCACTCCAAGTCTGCGATGGAGGGAACATATCGAGCACACTGACTTACAGACTGTAACCCGTCCCTGTAGGAGTCGAGTTTACTGATCGTTTCATCAGACAGTCGTAAGTGACTCTGGACTTCGCTGTCTTCCTCCACATATTCTAAGCTATTCCGAGATGAAGACGAGTCGCTGCTCTGTAAGTGAGAACCTTTCGGCGATCCAGAAAGATAACCCGACTCTTCCTCAAACATGTTTCTATTCGATCGTGTTAAATTATCATTTTCTGGAGTATTTGTTAGATCGTTGATTGCCTTTGCCTTGCAATATTCGTTGGAAGGAATCCGATAGAAAAATGGATACACTTGATGATATTCTTTCGGCGACATTATTTTGCACTTCAAAAATAAAGAGGAAACGTCCACATGAGGATCGTTAAATTCGTTGTACAAATCTGCGTCAGATTCTAACATAAGATCATCGAATTCAGTTTTAAGAGCGCGGCGGAGCAGATGCAAATCATCTTCAGGATGATCAAAATAATATTTTTTGTGACCATAACGGGACTCAATCGGATCATCAATTACATCACGCGTGGACTGTAAGCTGTTATCTACAAAATTGACCTTAAAATGCTTCGAGTTCTCGCACAGCAAATCTTCCGACAACGTTACGTCAAAATCAACCACAGAATCCAAGTAACTTTCCTCCACATCATCAGAAGACTCATAACCTTCCTCGAGCGCAATGTTGGTAGGGGAAAGTTCTTCTTTACGATCAAAGTCATCGTAATTCTCGTTAATAAGTTTCTCGTTCTCTTCAAAAGACGCAAGTTCATCATCAATAAGCTTAGGGTCGAGAGGTGCTAAGAAAGCATGACTCTCTGAACTTACCACAGGCTTCGGGGAACCTTTGACGTCCACTTCGAAGATGATGGACTCGCCCGGGGTGAGCACCACGTCGTTCAGAAGTCTCGTGAAAACTGGCGGGGTGTCGGGTTCCCTGGCAGGAGGAGTTGGGAGTCGTTGTTCAATGCTCAAGAACGCAATGCACTTGGCTGTGCCTGCTGAGTTCGAGGCCACGACTTCGTATTGGCCGGTGTGTTCCAAAGTTGCATTAGGAATGACGACGCTTGCGTTACCCGAGTCGTCTTGCTGGATCTGTGGTAACAGGGAAATCAGTTGCGAAGAAGCAGTCCATGTCAATTATTGTTAGCTAACAAGGCTCGTAAGAGGTAATTCGATGTTAGAAAATAACCACATGTCAGGAATTATTATCATCATTAATTAAAGATTGTCGATAAATACCGATAATTAAAGATTATCGATACAAGCCGATAATTAAAGATTGTCGATAAAGGCCGATAATCAAATATTTTAGCATTTGATACATAAATTATCATTTTTAACGAACCGTTAACGTAAGATCGGGCATGAGCGGCTTTCCGTCCTTGAACCAGGCGATGTCGGGGCGTGGCGACCCCGACATGGAGGTGCGGAGATAGACCGGCCCGCCCTCCGTCACGTGGTTGTCCTGCAGCAGGCACGTGAAGCGGGGCGCCACCGCAGGCTCCGGAGGTGTCGGTGGCTCGGGCTCCGGCGCGGCTGCACGATTAATCCATGCACAATTGATAGAAAAAAGCTTCACTAATGAAAAAATATCGATTGAAAAATTAAAATAAACCGAATCCATTGTAAAACGAGATAAATTGTTACATTTCACAGAACGATATCAGACAATGATTGCTATTAAATCCTTCAAATGGCGAACCGAAATGAGATGATCAGTCGATATTGTCGGCAAACAGATTCAAAATTAATAACGTATACTTAATAACGTATAATTAATAACGTATATTGTTTACATTAATATTTGAATTCCAACGAAAATTTTCGGTTAATCGAAAATAAGTTCGTTCTCATTTAGCTAAGGTGCGTAATGTTAACATCTAATCATTAATTTTACGAAACCTATATTTTTTCCTTCAAAATCTGCAATGTAAGTAACTTATTCCACTGAAAAGCCCCACACTAGTTGGCTCGCAAACAATTATTTGGAAGTTTCCCGGCCTTGATGCAAATGAAAACCCTAGCTTTTCCAGAAAAAGACTATTTTAGGCTGTCCGAGCATTCAAACGATGCCTATTCTACTTATCCTAGTCCATACTCTACTGCCCCTTTACTCCCCTCCCCATTCCCACGGTGAACAACTAAAACAAAAAGCTAAACGGAAACAAAATGCTAAACGGAAACAAAAAGCTAAACGGAAACAAAAATCTCACGCGTGACGGAAAGGAAGCAGGACGTGGAGGCCTCGCCGGCAGAGTTGCGGGCCACCACCTTGTAGGTGCCCGCGTCCTCAGGGTAAGCCTCGTGGATCACCAGCGAGCAGCGGTCGCCGTGGAAGAGCAGTTTGAAGTCTGACGACTCCTTCACCGGCTTGTCATCGTGATACCAGATCACCTGCAGGCACACTCACTCAGTTATCCTTCCACCAGTAGGTAATAAGTGCGAAATATTGTGATATTATTCTACCAGAACATAAACATTATTCGGTTTGTGGTACAAGATTCAATCGAGGTACTAAGTGGAGTGTTAGAGGTATTGTTCACCAGAAAATCAACAGTGTTCGGTTTGTGGTAGATATAATCGAGGGAACAAGTGGAGTGTTAGAGGTATTGGTCACCAGAAGATAGTGTGCGGTTTATGGTACAAGATATAATCGAGGGAACAAGGGGAGTGTTGAAGGTATTTGATCACTAGGACGTGCTGTGTTCGGTAAGTGATACTAGACCCCCATGGCGGCTAGGAGGTTTAAGTAATATATTCTTAAGATCACGTTAAGATCATGCATCTAACAATAACCTACTAAACCAGCCGCGGTTGTCACAATTAATACGTTAGAATATCCAGGAACTAGACGCAATTACACACTGGATTATACAAACGAGTATCCCGATAAACTGTCGACTAGAACTAGTAAAATGGCAAATTAACCTAGCAACAGTGGCAAAATAGGCCAACAGATCCATACAAAATTGCAACCAGATAAAATTCCAAGCATGGGAGACAAAATGACATCTAGAACTAGAAAAATGACATATTGAAGCACTATAAAAAATTATATTGTATGAAACTAGAAAAAATTACATCAAAAACTAGAAAAATTACGTATTGTAGAAATAGAAAAAATGACATCAAGAACTAGAAAAATGACATCTGGAACTATAAAAAATGACATCAAGAACTAGATACGGCCAGCTAGGCGACGAAGCTGTGAACTGAGCTAGTACGCACCTCAGGCTCTGGCTGTCCGACGATGACGCAGTCGAGTCTTGCAGTGCCGCCCTCCTGCATCTCAGTGTCGCGCAGCGCGAGCTGCACGGACGGCCGCACCAACTCCACGTCCGCGTCGCTCGGCAGCTCTGAGTCGCTCGTCTCAGTCGGAATACGACCCTGACAAGGATAGAAGAACTATTACTGGCAGTTTTATACCAATACAGAAATACGTGTTTTTAGCGCATCTTCCCTTTAATGGAAAAAATATATCTCAGCACTCACTGCAGTGAGTGACAGAGAGCGCATTTTCTCGTCGACGAAAACTTGAGGTCACGGACAGACAGACGGACAGACAGACAGACAGACAGACGAACAGACGGACATGGCGAGCACAATAGTGCATTTTTTCCATAAATGAGAAAATGCGCTAAAAATGCCCTATTGCGCTCGTCATGTCCGTCCGTCTGTCCGTGACTTCACGTTTTCGTCGACGAGAAAATGCGCTCTCGGTCACTCACTGCAGTGTGTACCTAATTTTATTTTTTATTTCTTTTTAAGCTTATAAACTTGTGTCGCCGTGGAGACGCTAGATTTAGTGAAATAAAACTTGCGGATGAAAGGCGTCCAAATCTACTTCAGCAAAAACTAGCAGACCAACCGACAGTTCCATTTCAAGTCATCTGACAGACTGAGATTCTGACAGACTTAAATTCTGACAGACTGAGATTCTGACAGACTGAGATTCTGACAGACTGAGATTCTGACAGACTGAGATTCTGACAGACTGAGATTCTGATAGACTGAGATTCTGACAAACTGATCTCAATTGCACCAACCTTGACCGAGACGGTGGCAGAACTCTGCGCCTCGCCGGCGGTGTTTTTAGCGACAGCGACGTACTGGCCACCGTTTTTAGGGAAAGCCTCTGACATCAACAGAGTGGCAACGCCGGCATCGGCATCGAAGGAGAGCTGGAATAGAAACAAGTTATCTGAGGTTAGAAACTCTAGTGAATTACTAGTCTTAGTGTGCGAGTAAGTTTTATGAACTATCGGAGTGCGTGATAAATATAGTTGTGGCACAACTGGATGTGTTCCTGGGCAAAATCCCAGATCGACCTCCCCTGCAACACTACCAGCGGCGAGAAGCAAGCAACAGCATCGTGCATCAGGTGGCCCAAATGAGGGCGGATGAACGATAATCAGAGGCGGCGATCCATCTTGGCCTGGGGCTGCCACGTTCCAAACGTTGAGGGAAGCAAAAATATAATTTTTGCTTAATTTTGAACCACAATACAACAAGCCTTTTAGTTACTTACTGTCTCTTAACACTAAGGAAACTAGGATATAACGCAGCGTCTGCCGCTATGCACAGTATAATACACCTGTGATATTTTGTAATAAAAATCACACTCACTTTGCAGTCAGGCGTCTCTTTGACGGGTCTGCCGTTGTGGAACCAAGCCACGGTTGGTTGAGGGTCGCCCTTCACTTGGCACTCCAGCTTGAACTTCTGGCCAGCGCGCGCCATCAGGTTGTTGAGCGGCATCACAAACACGGGAGCCCTCGACACGGACTTGGCTGGGGGACAGAGGGTGAGACGAGTTACTTAGCTGGGGGGCAGAGGATGAGAAAAGTTACTTGATTGGGGGCACGGAGGATAAAATGGGTCATGGTTGCCACACCAATAGCGGTCATGGTGGTGGCCACAACTAACCAGCAACGGTCATGGTGGTGGCGGTAGTGTCCGCCCCCAAATCGTTGGTGGCCCGGCAGAGGTACCTCGCGGCGTCCTCCACGAAGACCTCCTCGAACCTAAGCACGCACTCGCCGTTGTTGTAGGTTATCACGTAATCGGGGGACTCGTCCACGCACACCTCGTTCTTCATCCACGAAACTACGGGCAGCGGGTGGCCTGAAATCAACAAACAAAAATTCAAGACAGAAATTCTCCAATGCATGAAACTAGACAGTGATATTCTTGAAAAATTCACCAAATCTTTACCATGCTTCATAAGAAAAAATATTAATTATTATACGACTGATTTTAATCCAGTTATTTTATTCTGATCGGCAAATGATAATACAGAAAACTATGCTAAGCTTCATAGAATGAAAGTCAAATGAAGTTCTTAACGTTATTTATTACTGCGGTAAGCTAAATTAAATTCTCAACGTGGTATATTGCTGTGGTAAGGGATTCTTGCTTATATTTTATTTATTTCTGTTTGGTCAATAGCATTGGTAGTCTCATTAGTCCAGGTATTGATGGTAAATGCTGCCAATCACGTGTCAAATTTAAAATTATTTGAATATTGAAATGTCCATTCCAGAGATACTCTGGTCACTACGAGCAACCAGTTAAATAATTCTAATTCTTAATTGATTTTTAGTAAAAACCAACTTATTATGTCCACACGCATCTTAAGACGCGGATAACTGAAAACAATATTCTTGCATAAATGAATGAAAGGATAATGGATAATAAAGTAATGTTTAAGATTATGTCAGGATGGTTGAAAAAAGGATGGTAGATAATTAAGTAATGTTTAAGATTATGTCAGGATGGTTTAATAAAGGATGATGGATAATTAAGTAATGTTTAAGATTATGTCAGGATGGTTTAAAAAAGGATGACGGCTAATTAAGTAATGTTCAATGTTATTTAGTTGATATTATTATTTATTTATTAATAGTTTAGTTTAGATTATTATTTCTTCAGGATGATTGAAAAAAGGATGATGGATAATTAAGTAATGTTTAAGATCATGTAAGGATGATCTCACCGGTGACGGTGGCCTCGAGCTGCAGCTCCGACCCCTCGACGGCGGACACGGCGGGAGGAAGGCGGCGGGTGAAGGTCGGCGGACACAGCACTTCCGCGGGCTCTGTCTCTGAACAGCCCATATAAACGGGTTCAGGCGGAGCAAAGTGGAAGCCGTTCATGATTTCAATTACTTTTAAATGCACAGATTCGTCAATCAGATCTATCCAATCAACTATAGTTGTTGCGATAATAAATAATCAACTGTAAATTACGAGAGTCTATTATGGAGCTGAATTTTAAAGTCGCCCTCTAATCTCAAATGAGAAAAGAACCTTTGAGGGTTGATAATTTTTTCTTGTAATTTTAAATTCCATTACGAGTCACCCTCAACAGCGAATGTTCAAAAATTTGATTTTCGAGTTGCCTTTAAAAATAAATGTTCTGAAATTTAAATTTCATTTTGAAGTTACCTTTATTTAAGTTACCTTTAACAGTGAGCGACGCCGATGTCTGGGCGCGGCCCGAGGCGTTGTAAGCCTTGCAGGTGAAGAGGGCCGAGTCCTCAGCGAAGGTCTCCTCGATGGTCAAGCAGCACACGCCGTCCTCGAGGCTGGTCTTGTAGTCAGGGTTCTTGGAGATGCTGAGGTTGTCCTTGAACCACTCAACGTCGGGCATGGGGTATCCCATCACTCTGAGGTGTGAGCAAAAACATCGTTATCAATAATATAATTTTTGGACGGGGTTCTTGGAGATGCTCAGGTTGTCCTTGAACCACTCAACGTCGGGCATGGGGTATCCCATCACTCTGAGGTGTGGGCAAAACATCGTTGTCAATAATATAATTGTTATCCCTTGTTTTTTATCGCTTAATACTGGCCAAGGAATTTTTAGGTCTAAACAAACTAAATGTGAAATTTTCAGGGTCGAAATAACTTTATAACCCTTAATACATTGAACCACTCAACGTCGGGCATGGGGTATCCCATCACTCTGAGGTGTGAGCGAGACATCGTTATCAATAATATAATTGTTTTCACTCGTTTTTTATTGATTAATCCTGGTCAAGGAATTTTTAGGTCTAAACAAACTAAATGTGAAATTTTCAGGGTCTAAATAACTTATTAACCCTTAATACAGTCTTGAAGAACATTTAATGTGCAAAGCGTTAAATGGGACAGGATAAGAATATAATCATATTCTATTAATTCTATTATTATAACATTACTTTCAAGTGAGTGTTAAGAATATGTGACACATCATTGACACAAGTGTCAGGAGCTGACAGTATGCAGCTCGTTGTATTAAACATCAGAGGAAGAAAATGTGCAAGTATAGCTTTACGTAAAATAATCACGATCTCTTTAAATTAGCATGACCTTTTTGCTAGCGCCAAAAGTGTTAATCGATACTCGAGCAATAAAAATGATGATAATAATACGAGGTATACGTCACAAATTCTCTACCAAAATAATGATTATAATACGAGGTATACGTCACAAATTCTCTACCAAAATTATGATAATAATACGAGGTATACGTCACATATTCTCTACCAAAATAATGATAATAATACGAGGTCTCCGTCAAATATTCTCTACCAAAATAGTGATAATAATACGAGGTCTCCGTCACATATTCTCTACCAAATAATGATAATTATACGAGGTATACGTCAGATATTCTCTCAAGTTCTAAAGACCTGCACTCAAAAGTGAACTTGACTCCCTCCTGCACGGTGGCCCCCACCAGGGGAGTGAGGAACACCGGGGGCACGTGGTCGGGTTGGTCGTCCTTGAGTTTACTCTTGCTTGCGGCGTCATCTTCCTCAGGAGGAGGTGGCGGTGGTGGTGGAAGTTCCTCATCCGAAGACAGTGGGATTGCTTCCGTCTGGATGTCAATTTCCACCTTGAGAAGAACAGAATCATCAGGGGCCATACTTTCAAAACTCGCTAAGTGAACGTAAGTACTTAAGAATATAATACTATTTTCTTGCCTTTGATTGGTGGATTTTACTTGAAAGGCCGTCAATGATTGGCTGATGAACTTACTATCTCTCAACTTTTTTGAAAGCATGGCCCCTGGTCATCAATTTATTACTTTAATATTATCGTGTTACCGTATTGATTACTTCGTTTTTAAAACGTTTTTCTTAGCTTAGCTACGGGCGCTGACGTTATAGACGAGCAGGCGCTGACGCTGCGTATCATCGATACGTATGTCAAGTCATGCTTTTTAGTCCGTGCAGCAACGGACTAAAAAGGAGAAAATAAAATACTTAAAAAAAACTTTAAAAAAAACACGTTTTTCTTGTGGACTAAAAAGTAGAAAATAAATTATGGCTCGCTCCAAAAAACGTGGGTCGGGCTGTACGTTTACCATCTAATTGCCAAAATTCGTGTGTTGTGTGCTTTTCGCTTTAATCATGAATCTACCCGACCCACGTTTTTTGGTGCGAGCCATATTTTATTTTCTACTTTTTAGTCCACAAGAAAAACGTGTTTTTTTTAAAGGTTTTTTTAAGTATTTTATTTAACTGTCATGACAGGTAGAACTAAGGATTCTTAATTTTGAGCCACAATACAGCAAACCTATTAGTTACGTTTGCTAGGTCGATATAAGGGATTTCGTTAACCCTCTTTAGTCTCGGGTAGAGCAAGAATTTCCTTCTGTTTGAACTATCTTCGATTTAAAATTTACGTCCTATCTATTTTTTTCAACAGTTATGTACGATATTCAAGCCACTCCAAAGCCTCCATCATTGACATCAGTTGTGGCGATGTATTGTCATATAACAGATGAGCCGAACGTCCAAGGACGGGTTGCACAAAGGGTTGTCAGCTGGACGTACCTGCACGGGCTTCTCTTGGACGGGCAGCTGGACGTACCTGCACGGGCTTCTCCTGGACGGGCAGCTGGACGTACCTGCACGGGCTTCTCCTGGACGGGCAGCTGGACGTACACCTCACGCACCTGCTGCCCTCACGCACCTGCTGCCCTCACGCACCTGCTGCCCTCATGCACCTGCTGCCCTCATGCACCTGCTCCCCTCACGCACCTGCTCTCCCCTCACGCACCTGCTCTCTCCTCACGCACCTGCTCCCCTCACGCACCTGCTCCCCTCACGCACCTGCTCCCCTCACGCACCTGCTCCTGCTGGCGGCGGTGGTCATCAGCAAGTCGCAGGTTGGTCTCGATGGAGCGCAGGTTCTTGGTGATGACGCGCAGGCTGTCCAGAATGTAGGCGTTCTGCTGGCACAGCGCCTCGACCTGCGGCCGGTAAATCTGCATCAACTTAACATCAACTTGACTTCAACTTAGCAACATAAACTTAACATTAACTTAAGATCAACTTGAAATTAACTTAAAATCAACTTAAAATCAACTTAAGATAAATTTAAGATCAACTCAACAACATCAACTTAGCAACATCAAATTAGCAACATCAACTTAACAATATCAACTTAGCAACATCAACTTAACATTAACTTAAGATCAACTTAAAATTAAAATAAAATCAACTTAAGATCAACTCAACAACATCAACTTAACAACATCAACTCAACAATATCAACTGTTGCCCTACGCAGCTGCCAGCATCTCCCCCAGACACTGTGGCCTCCCTTGTTCTCGGCCGTAGACCCAGCCATCCCCAACCACTACAGCAGGCCCCAATACACGTAAGGTCCCCGCATCCTTCACCCCACCTGGGGAGGTTCATCCCGGCCGTAGAGGTCCTTGACGAGGGCAGAGATGGTGGTGATACGTCGTTGCTGTTCAGGCTCGCCCTCCTTCAGGAAACTTTCGATGCGCGTGCACAGTTTATGCGCCTCGTCTGGTGTGCGCACCGACGAAGACTCGCCTGCGACCTCCACCAGCAGCCGACTGCCCTTCTTAAACCACTCCTCCGTCTGCGTAAATAAAAAAAACTGGCGTGAGAATGTTGGCATTACTATAAATAATACCAGTATATTCGCGTGAATAAATTGGTCGCACTTGGCTGTTAAGACTATTTTATGGGGAGGGAATAATAAAATGCGGGGAGAATAAAATAGAGGGAAATATTTTATGGGGACAGTTAGGTCGACTTGGTGGGGTATAGGCAAAATTTTTCAGCAGAAGAGTCAAATTTTAAGGGTTACTGAAAAAATTTGTGAAAATTTTAGTCATGTACACGAGAAAGTTGACAAGTTTTGGTAGAAAATTTTGACAATTTACTGAGACATTTGGACAACTTTTGGGTCACTGTTGTCTGGTACATTATGTTTGGTCGACGAAAATAGGCACGGTCCAATAGGTTGAACGTCGTCACCGAAAATTCTCAATCGAATGAAGTAAAATCATAAGGATTGTTCCAATGACAATTTCAATCACAGAAATCTTCAAGGCCGAGATAGGCACACGATCGCGAGGAAATGGACAATCGTTAACACCATCAGCCAGGGTTTAGAAATCCCATTCACAGGGATTTTGATTTTTCTTAATTAAAACCAATAATTAACATAAAATTAAACACAACCTATAATTAACCCAAGATAGATCATTGAAAATTCCAATGTTGATGGTTCTAACAATGTTGCTGCAGTTCTAATTTGAATTTGGAGTCCCGTATAATATATAAATTAGAACTCCCTCAATTCTACGTTCACACTGAAATGCTTCACACAAACCTCCTTAACATGTCTGAAGAACTCGATGGAAAGTTCGATATTCTTCTCTGTGTTGTCGACCTGCTTGTGGAAGGCCGACCACTGCTTCTGCAGGTCACCCAGGCTGTGGCGCAGGTCATCACCGTCGCCGTCAGCAGCGCGTTCTCCCGTCCTCAGGAACGCCTCGATCCTCTCCTGCAGCAGCTGTCAAAACCACACACCATATCAACAAAATATACATCAACTTGAAAACAATACATCAACTCGACAACAATACATCGACTTAACAACAATACATCAACTTGCCAACAATACATCAACTTGACAACAATACATCAACTTGACAACAATACATCAACTTGACAACAATAGGTACATCAACTTGACAACAATACATCAACTTGACAACAATACATCAACTTAACAACAATACATCAACTTGACAACAATACATCAACTTGACAACAATACATCAACTTGACAACAATAGGTACATCAACTTGACAACAATACATCAACTTGACAACAATACATCAACTTAACAACAATACATCAACTTGACAACAATACATCAACTTGACAACAATACATCAACTTAACAACAATACATCAACTTGACAACAATAAATCAACTTGACAACAATACATCAACTTAACAACAATACATCAACTTGACAACAATACATCAACTTAACAACAATACATCAACTTGATAACAATACAGCGACTTAACAACAATACATCAACTAGACAAAATCAACATAATCAACGTCAACATTTCATAATGTTCGTAAGCTTTCAAGAGGAATATATATACGCGAGAAGACACGTTTAGTTTTTGGGTGGTCATGCGTAGGTCTCACCGCAAGTCAGATGATAACAAATCATTGCTGTCACTTACCGTGACGAAGCTGTCACTCACCGTGACGGTACTGTCACTTACGTTGACGGTGCTGTCACTCACCGTGACAGTGTGCCGGAATTGCTGGAAGACGTCACGGGTGCTGATAGCAGCTGACAGGGATTCACCGTAGCGGCACTGCATGCGCTCGAGCTGACCGCTCAGTTCCTCCAGCTGACGAATGATGACCTGACCGGACAAAGGTGATGATAAGTAATAAAGCGAAGCATCAACAACAAGCATTAGAATAACAAACATAGCGAAGCATCAACAACAAGCATCAGCATAACAAACATAGCTCAGCATCAACACAAGCATCAGAATAAGAATTTGCAAGTAGAATATCGACACTGATGGTTGACATCAGCAATACTGATGTAGTCTTAACAACAGTAACAGCAGTGCTGAGTACCAACAGTAGGTACCAGTATCGGCAGTACCACTACCAGCAGTACTACTAACAGCAGTACCTGGAGGTCACGGTGGTGCTGGCAGCGGGTGCTGGCAGCCTCGAGCTCCTGCAGGCGAGTGGTCCAGGCCTCCTCGAAGCGCTGCTGGCGGCGACGCAGCAGTTCCTCCATCATCGCGAGGTCCTGTGCGCCGGCCTCCGCGGGGCACTGCCATCAGGCATTAGCATTACATCCATGAAAGACTATGAATATTGAAAGTGATTTTCTATTTACAGGCCATTTTAGGCCATTCTTTACTGACTTAAAAAGGCCACTGTAATCAAATACGGCTACTTTCAGTTGAATTATTTCAGTGGTAAATGCATTCCTTCGATTCCTAAATTGCATCGGTTGGCAGAGCGTACAAATCGATCCCAGTAATCCGACCTATAACGCCATAGATGTTGTTAGGAGACTTTTCATCTTTTGAGACCAGTAAGTTATTGAATGAAAATTACATAAAAATTTTCATTCAAAATTATTCATTAATTAAAATTAACATTATTTGAGTGTTCACCTGATTGGTTATCTTCGCCATGATTGCATCGGCCTCGGAGCGCGCGAACTTGTTGAGCTCGTGGACGGCCTGGCGCGCTGCGTGGTGCTGCTTCAGCTCAGCGGCCCCCGCCCCCGCCACGGGCGCCGTCGTGAACTCCGACTCGAAGGTGGAACACGACCTGTGAATCTGGGGGAAGAAGGGCACGACCTGTGAATCTGGGGGAAGAGGGGCACGACCTGTGAATCTGGGGGAAGAGGGGCACGACCTGTGAATCTGGGGGAAGAGGGACACGACCTGTGAATCTGGGGGAAGAAGGGCACGACCTGTGAATCTGGGGGAAGAGGGACACGACCTGTGAATCTGGGGGATGAAGGGCACGAAGAGGGGCACGACCTGTGAATCTGGGGGAAGAGGGACACGACCTGTGAATCTGGGGGAAGAGGGGACGACCTGTGAATCTGGGGGAAGAGGGACACGACCTGTGAATCTGGGGGAAGAGGGGCACGACCTGTGAATCTGGGGGAAGAGGGACACGACCTGTGAATCTGGGGGAAGAGGGGACGACCTGTGAATCTGGGGGAAGAGGAGAGCACGACCTGTGAATCTGGGGGAAGACGGATTACGATAAAAATCTTGGGGATTAGCAAATTATGGATATGGAGGAGAAAGAACGATAATAACCAGGGATAATGGATCGACCTGTGAATCTTGGGGAGAATTTGAATCTCAATAATTACAGATGAATTGAGGATACATGCAGAATAATAATGTCCATCTCAGTTGTGACAGACAGGAATAAGTCCAAACAATGTTTGGATTCGCGATCTTGAGACACGATAGCAATCGACAAAGTTTATATGTTCGCGATCTTGAGACAAGAGAACAATAATTGATAATTAAGACAAGACAAGAGAACAATTAAGTTGATATGTTCAGAGATAAAGATCGAGATCGCCAATAATGAGATGTTATATGTTAATACCTCGGCGATGTTGCGACACCACTGGCTCAACATGGAGGCCAGGATCTGGAAGTTGGTGGAGGAGGCCTGGAGTCGCTGGAAAAACTGGAGCAGCCCTCGCACCACCTCATCCCTGGCGCCGCTCGACGGCACGTCTGGGGTTGAGTTGAGCATGTTTTAAAGCACGATTTTTAACTTAAAAAAATTATTTAAAAAAGAGTAATAAAGATAAATAAAATAATAAAGATTATTTAAAATATGAAAGATTATTTAAATGATTATTGAAATATGAAAAGATTATTTTAAAATATAAATAATATAAGATATGAAAATATTTTAATAGTGTAGGATTTTTTGAAAATTTTAAGTAATGAAAAATTGAAACCGACAATCCATGAGCAGAGAAACCCCGGAAGTCGATAATTTCGTAAATAATTCCACGCAAATTTTTTGACAAAATCACGACTCAGAAGTTAGCGTGAACCTTTTAAACAAATATCGCTATTTCGCTAAAGCAGCTTTTGTAAGCGTTAGGCGTTAGATCGTTTTCAAAATATTTTGCCATTTTTTACTGTATCTGGATATTTAATGCGTTATAAGCAACTACATTCGCAAATCGACCGTTTCAAAAATGTGAATTCTCCCTGAAGCGAACACTCATCAACTCTCGGGTTATCGTAGTAAAAAAACGAAGCTCATATAAAAAAACCCACTTCATCTTTATAAAGAAAATAGATCAGACTCAAGCAAGACAGATCAATTTCGAAAAGGCTTAGAATAATAACCGGTCGCAGGTAGAAAAAACTTGACTTAAATAATACGTCGCAAATTTGAAAACGATTCTCCTCAACAATAAGTTTCAATGAAAGGCCAGCGCATAGCAGATTCTAAGTTAATTTCCCTATACTATTCAGCGACCAAATGAATAATCTGTAATTTATAATTATAATATGTACTCGATTTAACCTATGCTATTATATTCCCATGCCAGAGAACTCAATAATTTGAATATTTATTAACTAATTTATGTATTATTCTCGTTCCCGATTATTTTTTTTTTATTTTGGACGACTCACTGGGCACTCCGGCGACCTCGGCCTTGGTGATCATTTCCTGGATTTTCTGCTGGGCTTCCTTCACTTCAGCGACGTAGTCCAGCAGCCGCCGGTCCAGCCCAGCGGCCAGCTCGTCTGGATCATCAACGTCGCCACGCAGCAACGGGCAGAACTGACGTTCCATGACGTCCAGATCGTCACGTAGCTGCCATGCAAGTGAACGTCCAATATGTTAGTAAATATATAAAAATATAACTCAGTACTCACTGCAGTGAGTGACAGAGCGCATTTTCTCGTCGACGAAAACGTGAAGTCACGGACGGACGGACAGACAGGCGGACGGACAGACAGGCGGACGGACATGGCGGGCACAATATAGCGCCTTTTTTCCATAAATGAGAAAATGCGCAAAAAATGGTGTTCGCATCTTCTGACTTTGATACGAGGATTTTTGTTATGAAATAACAGGTCAAACATGAAAGATGCGATAGATTTAGCACGTTAAGTGTGGCTTACAGCACCAGTGCTGTAAGATGGCCTAAAAACGGCCAAATCCTCGGATAAAAAGGCCTATAATTCAAAATATACTAGTAAATTTGTAGGTTCCGGTGCAAAAATTAAATTTTCCTTTTTCCGAACTTTTTAAAATTCAATGAAGTAGTACAACCATCAAAATTTTTGTAATTAATTTTCCTGTTTTCCGTTTTTTTTAATTAAATGAAGTATTGCTGCCATCGTAAATTTTTGTCAACAAATTCAATTGAAAAAAAAACTAACTTGCGGAATTTGTCCAGAAAAATACCCTGCAACACACCGGTGTGTCGTGCCGCACTTGAAGTGTTAATAATTTTGTTTCCATCTTTCTGACCTTGAGTTGAGAATTGTTGTTATAAAATGACAATAACTATAACCAACGCTGAAATTCCGCTCAAATAATAAAAAAATAACTCAGAACTCACTGCAGTGAGTGACAGAGCGCATTTTCTCGTCGACGTAAACTTGAGGTCACGGATGGACGGACAGACGGACAGACGGACGGACAGACAGACGGACAGACAGACAGACGGACATGGCGAGCACAATAGTGCATTTTTTCCATAAATGAGAAAATGCGCTAAAAACGGCACATAATTTCGATCAACAGAGACGTAAAATAATTTTTCATTATTTCACCAATCCTGTCTTTAACGCGCAATGATAGTAAAATGAACAATATTGCTAGAAAGAATATCTTATAGAATTTTTAGCTGTACAATGAAAAATATTGAAACTAACAACATAAGACAACATAACATAGTGATCTCGGCGCTGAAGTGTAGGCCTGATGTGGCCTGTCGCCGGTTCTTTTCCTTTTCGTGCCTTGTTCACAGAAGATCTAAACTCGTGTCATTTGACCGGATCTTTTCATGACTGACGATAGTTTGAAGTAGCTACCTACTAGACTTCCACCGGGTTCGATATGGTGCTAGGCATTTCAAATCTGAACATATATTTTTCCATAGCTTTATCTAGTCTGTTCTTGAACGCGTTCATACTTGGAGCGCCATAATAAATATTGAAGATTCTATAGGGAAGAAGTCACAAGGTCTAACAAGTATAACAAGTATTCTTACTCCGACGCTCCTAACCGCGATCTTTGTTTGAATTTAATACTTTTTCTTCATAAATTTCTTTAGAAAATAATTTTATTGCCAATAAGCATTGAAATGATAGTGTGTTGAGACTCACACTACATATTAATGATAGTGCCTTAAAAATAACATTGATTGCACCTTACAAATGAGGTAAAGATAGTGACTATAAAGTATCAAGCCAATAATAGTGCTATAGACTCACAGCGTCAATGTTGCGTTTGTAAGTGTTCCAGATAGTGATCATCTCCTTAGTGTTGGTGATGGTGAGTTTGTACTGCGAGTGAAGGTCCGTCACTAACAACTGCTTCTTGTTCAGCGACTCCAGGATGGTCTGGACGCACAGCACCGCGCGCTTGCTGTCCAGGTAAGGGTCGTCAACCTGACCAGGATATATGGAATATTGATAAGGGAATAAACACATTTTAAATAAAAATAATAATAATAATAATAATAACTTGACCAGGATATATTGAATATTGATGAGGGAATAAACACATTTTGAACAACAAGAATATAATTTAATGATATTTATAAAAAATATACATGATATAAAATTATATTAATATAAATTAATATAATTTTTAACAGTAAGAATATACTTTAATGATTACTGTGGAATTAATGTTCAAAAGTTTCGCATTGCCAACAATAAATGTTTTGACTTGAATGAAGCTCGACTCTTAACCATTTTAAACAATGACGAAGGGGAAATTCAAATTCGAAATAAAGACACAATATTCATCGAAATTTTGCAAGCAAGTAGAAATAATAATTCTAAAAAAAACAATAGGCATACGGCACCTTTTGTGCCGAGTTGATGAAGGCAGACCCCATGTCACCGAGGTCTGTAATCATGCCCCGGATGGTCTGCCAGGTCTCCTCGATCACAGGACCAGCGTCTTCAGCCGCTGGAGCACGGAGCAACTTCTCCAGCTGCTCCAGGTCACTCTGGATCTTCTCGGCAGACTCCAGGAAATGTACATACTTCTCTATGAGGCTCACTCGCGTCTCTGAAGGCACAATAAAATATATTCAATTTGAATTTGAATTCTATCGATTTATCTTGTAAAACTTTTATCGATTCTCTTCTTCTATCTTATTGATTCTATTGATTCCCTACACTTCTTCTATTGATTTATCTTCTTCGTTTTGAAGCTTGAACGTAATTGTTCAGAGAGTGCGTGAATTGTCTCACGTTTTCATTTCTCGACACAAGTTCAATTAGTCATTTCTCACTACCCTAGTTTGCATTGTACATACCGACATTGTGTTCACTATCAGCCAAGTACTAAGAACAAAGGATAAACAATCCTCAGACAATTTTGATATCACTTATAAAAATAATTGTCAAATACCTGCAATCTGTTAAATTGTGACAATTTTTCTTGTGCGGACGAATCTGTTAAATTCTGACAAATTTTCTTATACGGACGAATTAAAACTTAATTTCATGGCGTTTTCATGGTGCTGCAATGATACCGCGAGATTTATTTACAAATACTTAATGTTTGTGAGTAATTATATTATTTACCAAGAGATTTGATGATGGATGCGGAGTGGTGGCGCAGAGCGGCGGCCTTGTCAGCGCAGTCGCGGTGTTCCTCGTCCGGTAAATCTTTCTTCGCCTCGGCGAGGAAACGGTCGATGGCGTCCATGTCGCCGTTTTTGGCCTAAAATTAGAAACATTATTATATTTATTGTTTCTAATTGAATGTAATAAAAATTATTATGCGAACTTACTTCCGAAAATTACTTTAAAACTCAAATTATATTACGTATTATAGCGGTTTCAGCGTTTATTATATGCCGTAGGCCCGTCGCTGATTCTTAACATTGCAGAACGTCCACAGCATATTGCGCCTTGAATTCGCAATTCACTGCTTCAAATTTTCTTTCCTTAACCGCACCTTTAACATGTCATTTTTTGTTTAAATATTGTAGAATAAAAATATTTTATAAAACACTTTATAAATATATAATAAAAACACTTTTTTATAAAATCATTTTTTTATACATTGTTATAGATATTAGTATTAAGATATGTTGCATTCATTGATAAAATAATAAAAAATACACTAGGGTAATGAAGATTAAGGGAATTATATAACTTGACAATAACAATAATAAAGAAGATTTCCACACATCAGCGATTATTAAAGTGCAAACACAACAGAAACAATTGTAGAACTCGAGTAAAACCCATTCGAGTAAGATTCTAAGTAGTATTTCAAAGATTAAAATTCCCAAGTCTTTTATGGCGGTAGCAACTACCAGAAAATCGATAAAACATCGTCTTGACCAAGTAACAGAAGTTAGGAACTCTCGCACATGTATTAGCGCCTCTCCGTACGTTTAATTATACCGACCATCTGCCGTGACAACCGTGATGAAATTGCAGCTCTAGCTGAGCTCATTCTTTGATACCTGCTAACGGTGTAAGTAAGGAAACAAAAAATTGTGTTTTTAGCAGCGAAGTTTTGGACAACTCAATCGATTTAAAGATGATACGCGCACACTCGCGAAAGTGAACGTTAACTGAACGTATTCTGAAACAAGTGGACACTAAGAGAATTTGTCAAGTATTTTAAAGTGCATTGACATCGTTGGGAGACTGGAAATGTGGAAAGGAAGTTGTTACTTCACAAGACGAATGTCCGCCGAACTCGTCGATCTGCAAGAATTCAAGTCATGTTCAGGCCTTACCTTATGGTCGGCTTTGAGGTGCAGGTGCAGGACTCACCTTGGTGTCAGCCATGAGGTGCAGGTGCAGGTGCAGGTGCAGGACTCACCTTAGTGTCAGCCATGAGGTGCAGGTGCAGGTGCAGGTGCAGGACTCACCATAATACCACTCATACCAGGTGAACGTTGATAGCGGCGTCAAAAGGTACAGATTCATACCACTCATACCAGGTGAACGTTGATATAGCGACTTCATAAGGTACATAATAATACCACTCATACCAGGTGAACGTTGATAGCGGCGTCAAAAGGTACAGATTAATACCACTCATACCAGGTGAACGTTGATATAGCGGCTTCATAAGGTACAGAATAATACCACTCATACCAGGTGAACGTTGATGGCGGCTTCATAAGGTACAGATTAATACCACTCATACCAGGTGAACGTTGATAGCGGCTTCACGAGGCACAGATTAACACCACTCATACCAGGTGCGCGTATAAATCATTTAAGATCAGGTGAATCATAAATCAGAACAAATCAGTACAAGGCACCACTTAACCCTCTCCCGCCTGACATGAGTAACCGGAGCAATATTGTCACAAGTCTACTTCCCACAAAAGATACATTCTAGTGAGCGCAAAATGACTTGCACTGATGGTTGCCGCCACGTACGACAACTTTAAAATGTTCTCTGTTGCGTACAAACGTCCTCTGGTTGCTACACGCAATAGTTTACGTGTAATTTGCCGCCACGTACGACAACTTTAAAATGTTCTCTGTTGCGTACAAACGTCCTCAGGTTGCTACACTCAATAGTTTACGTATAATTTAAGTTCAAAATTATGTTCCCGGAGAGTGACATACGGCGGTAGAGGGTTAATACCACCTATACCAGGCGCAAGTTTGAAGCTAGTATACCAAGAAAAAGTGGTACCATTCATACCATGTTGGACTTTAAAGCATTCGTAACCGATACGCGTTTACCACAGTTATGCCAGGTACACGTTTATTGAAACTATATCAGATAAACGTTAACAACAGTTATACCAGCAGAGAGTTTATGCATGTTAGCTGAGCCTGGTACGTTTTCATAACAATAACACCAGGTTCGATCATATACCAGCTATATTAGGTATGAACGCAAAGCAATTAAACCAGACACGAATATACATAATTAATACAAAGCACACACTGGCTATATACCCGGTACGAATTAATTGCAGTCTAACCATGAACTTTATAGCGGCAATAGCAAGGACGAGTTTTTTGTTATCTGGACGATGTTTTTTAATGTTTAGCGACAGTTAAGAATAAGCAAGATTAATTTAACATTGATCTAGAATAATTAAAACAGTAATGCTGCGTAAAAACAATTCAGTAATAGCATGAACAACAAATTTTTTCATTATTCCAGGTGACGTTGAGTTAGCGTTGACGTTTAAGTTGATGTATGAGGTGTATTAGTATGGTATTATGTATGTATTTATGTACAAGTATAATGAAACACAATTCCCGTTCAACATACCGAGTTGTACATCTCAAAAGTATTTATTTATGTATTAGTATAATGAAGCACAACTATTGTTCAACATACCGAGTTGTACATCTCAAGGAACTGGTTGTGGAGCTGAGTGCGCTGATGTATGAGGTGTATTAGTATGTATTATGTATATATTTATTTATTAGTATAATGAAGCACAACTGCTGTTCAACGTACCGAGTTGTACATCTCAAGGAACTAGTTGAGGAGAAGAGTGCGCTGATCTATGAGGTGTATTAGTATGTATTATGTATGTATTTATGTATTAGCATAATGAAGCACATCAGCTGTTCAACGTACCGAGTTGTACATCTCAAGGAACTGGTTGAGGAGCTGAGTGCGCTGGACTTGCAGCTCGGTGGTGTCAGCGCACAGAGCTGAGAAAGCCTCGCGTCGTCTCTCCAGCTCCTCCACTACACACGTCACTCCCTAGAGGGACGAAGCAAAAGATTCAGTGGACGTCAATTGATTAAAAATGTTAAGGATCAATATTTCAAGATTATTTGAAGAGATTCAGTGGAAGTCGTATGATTAAAAGTTTTAACGGTCAATATTTCAAGTCAGTGGACGTCAATTGATAATGAGTTTTTACGATAAATTTTTCAAGATTATTTGCCACACGTCGGCTTTGAATGTTCCACGGCCGCTGTTAGAGTGTGAAAGGAAGCTTCAGAGGACAAATACGAAAAAGCAATGATATTGTACCGAATTCATTTTTTGTTTGATGGGACTGTCGTGAGATAATTTTTTCTGTTAAAAACATACTACTCAGTTTTAGGAATGACTAATCTAGGAACAGAATATCGCCCGCTTACATTTTCCCAGAAAAATTATGTGTTAGGAATTACAGGATGTTAATACAAATGCCTTCAGTATAATGTAGTCACGCATACCGCATTAAAGCGTTTGTTTACAAATAAACAAAGAGTACAATAATTTTAATAACGTTCTGCAATCAAAACATAGACAAAAATGATCCGACAGCCGTCATGTGACCTCATAGCAAATACTGTGAATAATTAATCAAGTATACAGAACATTCACAAACATCAGAACGCGATTTTTTTTATCCCTACAATCGGGTGGTCTCATTAAACAGGCCGAAATTCATGTAAGGTTTTCTAGATTTGGTCATGAGGAGCAAGTGGTCAAATTAGATGCAATATACTGTAATTATAAATTAAATACTAATAAATAATAAATTTCTTATTAAATGCAATATACTGTAACATTATATTAAATACTAATAAATAATAAATTTCTTATCAAATGCATAATACTATAATATTAAATAATAAATTTCTTAATAAATTTTCTACATACATTCGATATGTATTTATTTATTTGATATTGTTGTACGTTTCCTGTTTAATACTGTTCTGCGCCACCAATATTTATTTAATATATATTTTAAATGCAATATCCTGTAATAATGAATCAAATACTACTAAATAAAAATTTAATATTAGATGCAGTATACTGCAATATTGAATTAAATACTAATAAATAATAAATTTCTTATTATATGCAATATGCTGTAATAATAAATCAAATTCTACTAAATAAAAAAATTTATTAATAAATGCAATATATTGTAGGTAATAATAAATCAGATACTACTAAATAATAAATTTCTTATTAAAAGCAATATCCTGTAAAATTGAATTAAATACTACTAAATAAAAATTTCTTATTAAATACAATATCCTCTAATATTGAATTAAATACAACTAAATAAAAATTTCTTATTAAATAAAATACCCTATAATATTGAATTAAATACTACTAAATTAAAATTTCTTATTAAATACAATATCCTGTAATATTTGATTAAATACTAATAAATAATAAATTTATTATTAAATGCAATATACTCTAATATTGAATTAAATACTAATAAATACTGCATTCTTATTAAATGCAATACACTGTAATATCCAAGACTGTCCGTGGCCCCGCGGGTGCACACCTGGTTGTGGGGCTGGTGTCGGCCCCCCGTGACTTCAATGACCGCATAGCCCTCGTGCAGCGCGGGCTGTACGGCCTCCTCCACCAGCCCCACCACGGTGGAGAGGCGCTGGTGACGCAGGGTTGCTCCATCCTCCCCTGCAACCTGCACCTCCGCCTGCTCCAGCTTCGTCAGCGCCTGCGTCGCGAGTTATACGTTAAAGTGACGAACGTATAAGCAAAAACTTCATAAATAATACTTCAAGAAGAGCATTAGCGATACGTCAAGGGACGAACGTATGAGCAAAAACTTCATTAAGAATACCTCAATAAGTGCATTAGCGATACGTCAAGGGACGAACGTATAAGCAAAAACTTAATAAAGAATACCTCAATAAGTGCATTAGCGATACGTCAAGGGACGAACGAATGAGCAAAAACTTCATATATAAAACCTCAATAAGAGCATTAGTTATACGTCAAGGGACGAACGTATGAGCCAAAAACTTCATAAATAATACCTCAAAAAGAGCATTAGCGATACGTCAAGGGACGAACGTATAAGCAAAAACTTAATAAAGAATACCTCATTAAGAGCATTAGCGATACGTTAAAGGGACAAACGTATGAGCAAAAACTTTTTATTCACAATCAAGTCACGAAAAATTCAAGAATGGGCAACAGGTCATGGGCCTATTTTCTTCAATGCCGTCACTTCTTTTCAATTCTATAAAGAATACCTTAAAAAGAGCATTAGCGATACGTCAAGTGACAAACGTATGAGCAAACACGTCATAAAGAATACTTCACTCCACTAGCGTTAATAAAAATAATAAGAATTTCATCATAATATAATATTTTATAATAAAACTCGCTCTTATTAGAAGAATGTGTCTGAAAAAGAGCAGGCGTGCGCGAGCCTGAAGAAGAGCACGGCCCGCTCACCGTATGCGCAAGCCTGAAGAAGAGCACGCCGCGCTCACCGTGTGCGCGAGCCTGAAGAAGAGCACGCCCCGCTCACCGTGTGCGCGAGCCTGAAGAAGAGCACGGCCCGCTCACCGTATGCGCAAGCCGAAAGAAGAGCACGCCCCGCTCACCGTATGCGCAAGCCTGAAGAAGAGCACGCCCCGCTCAACGTATGCGCGAGCCTGAAGAAGAGCACGGCCCGCTCACCGTATGCGCATGCCTGAAGAAGAGCACGCCGCGCTCACCGTATGCGCGAGCCTGAAGAGGAGCACGCCCCGCTCACCGTATGCGCGAGCCTGAAGAAGAGCACGTCTCGCTCGCCGTATGCGCGAGCCTGAAGAAGAGCACGGTGCGCTCACCGTATGCGCGAGCCTGAAGAAGAGCACGGCCCGCTCACCGTATGATCGAGCCTGAAGAAGAGCACGGCCCGCTCACCGTATGCGCGAGCCTGAAGAAGAGCACGTCTCGCTCACCGTATGCGCGAGCCTGAAGAAGAGCACGGCGCGCTCACCGTGTGCGCGAGCCTGAAGAAGAGCACGCCCCGCTCACCGTATGCGTGAGCCTGAAGAAGAGCACGTCCCGCTCACCGTGTGCGCGAGCCTGAAGAAGAGCACGGCCCGCTCACCGTATGCGCGAGCCTGAAGAAGAGCACGTCTCGCTCACCGTATGCGCAAGCCTGAAGAAGAGCACGGCGCGCTCACCGTATGCGCGAGCCTGAAGAAGAGCACGCCCCGCTCACCGTATGCACGAGCCTGAAGAAGAGCACGGCGCGCTCACCGTATGCGCGAGCCTGAAGAAGAGCACGCCCCGCTCACCGTATG